ATCTGAGTTATAGCTCATAGATTATTGGATTTGTTATATGTTTTTCGATATCTTTATGTATTTGAGACTGAAGAGGACTGCAGTAAGCGTCGAAACGTTTCGTGTTTTAATTATGAATTTTATATAATAAATGTATCAACTGATAATTGTTGCTTGTTTATACCGAATATTAATGCCTTACTTTTGTTGTTTTTTTATAATATAACAAGCGTTTTAATACATATATTTTAATATTTATTAATAATATTTAATATAAATTTCACACACTTTTTAATCATGTTATCAAAAATTGTAACATTTACTCGACACAATTTCAGTTACCTTACTTGGCTCTTGAGTTGGAAGGAAACTTATTGCAAAATCGCTCGCGTTACGAAAGTACCTTTACCTTATACTCGTGGGAATGTACGTCCGGATACTTTCCAAGAGTACTGTCCAATAAGTTCTGGAATTTGTGTGGCGCAGTCTGAGAGAAATGTGTATATCCAAAACTATATGATCGTGAATCGCAAATGTTATTAGTCACATCGTGCAAAAAGGATGCACATTTTAATCATCTCTCTAATTAATCATCGTTAATATAAGTTATTATAAGTTAAGATTGAGGACAATTCCGAAATCGCAATATTATTAAAAATGTAAATGACAAAGCAAATATATTACTAATATCATAATGATGAAATATATCACATGGATTTTTTCACTTCAAATTATGCATATATGTAATTGGATATCGAGAATTCGGTTAGAAAAAATTATGTCTAGCCTAAGGGATTAGATGGAATCTGTGATAAAACAATGTCTTATATCGGCGCGCTTAAAATTCTCTTTGCGCAGGTCATATTTCATCGATTAAATTCAAGTCATTTTAGGATTGATGTATTTATATTCCTCAGATATCACTTAACATCGGAAACTAATTATTCCTATTTCGATTTAGAAGGAAAAAGGATAATTATTTTATAAGAAATGAAGCAACCTGATTTCCAAAAAATCGTAAAGAAATCTACTGGCAGTAATCATTTGTATTTCTTATTTGTATTCTTTGTTTGCATTTCCCATGAGATTAATAACAAATTACTTGATACTTACAACATCAATTATTAAGTAGCCATTAAAATATTGAAATGAATAAGTAAATATAATTTCGGAAGAACATGAACATGTTTATTACAACCATTAAAATTTTAAAGATGTAATTAACAGCACAAAGTATTAGTATCAATTAATAACACTAAATAATTAAGATTTTACAATTTATTTACGTTTTTCAAAAACTTAATTATTAAAAATTTAAAAAAATAATAAATTAAAATAAATAACGGACTTTGGTAATATAATAAAAATAGTAAAAATTTTTTAATGTTTTGATTATAATTACTAATTCAGTAAGTATGTTCTTTTAAATTTCTGCTAAGAACATTTTTTATTTATTAAGTTTCATTATTATTTCTGTTCTTGATTAATATTATTTCTAAAATTTTTCATATTTTAAAATGTGACAAATTGCACAAAATTCATCAAAATAATAATGCTGTTATATTGCAGCATAACGATATATTTTTTTACTTCAATAATAATAATGCATCCGTTTTACTATACTTAATTATGGTAAATCCGTATTTAAGTTTCTGTCAGCATAAAACCATCGCTTAGATTAATCACAGTTGTTGATTCCTATTTTACCTGAGAATTTATTACGACTATTATAGAAAATTAAAAAAGTAACGTTCTCCAATTTGCTCAACGCACAGCTTATAATAAGATTATCATTGCCATTTAAATTTCTGCAAGCAAAAGTTTTAGATTGATTAAAATATTCACCTTAATTCTCAATTTTCATATTCACCATTAATTAGACACGAAATCGTCGACGTTTCTAGGCAACATCGTAGAATGATGGTTTATTGTTATTGGTGTATGTACATAAAAATTCTGTTTAAATTTACATCAAAAGAAAGTTACGTCGATGAACTTCTCATTCAAAAAGTACTAACTTCTAAAATTTGTATAAGAAAATAAAAAAAAATGTATTAGTAATTAAAAAATTTTGGTATCTCTCAGTATCATATACTAATGTCATAAAGAATCCATGCGATTTATTTATATTAGCTCTGTGATAAGGGAGTCATTTAAGTTTAATCACCGACAAGCTGAATGCAGCTCGTCTAAACTCGATTTTATCGATTTCGTTAACGGAAATCCGTTATTCCCAATAGCGCTCGCTGTATCGTGAAATTTCTTCGTATCATATAAAAACGATAATCGCGGATAATCGCGTAAGGAGAATTAGGTATATACATCGACTACGGGGGGAGGGAGGGGGAGAGGGGGAGAGGGAGAGAGAGGGGGAGAGAGGGAGAGGCAGAGAGAGAGGGGGGGGAGAGGGGGGAGAGAGGGAGAGGCAGAGAGAAGCGGAATCTGATGTCGATATGCGAATTAATTACCACGCGTGTTCTGCGGAACAGGGGTACCATTCGCTTGCTGCCGATCTGCCTGTTTGCCATATGCTGCTCGCCAGCTCGCCACGACCTCCGCCACCGCCACCACCTTCACCACCACCACCGTCACCACTCTCATGGAGGGAGGGGAAGGTTAGTTGCACTCGTTGTAGATCCACGAGTGGGGGTTAGCGTCAGTGGCAGCGGTGGATGTTCGTGCAGGTACGCAGTGAATATACACCCCCCGCGCGACTATCGTTGACGCCGCCGTCGCCGCTACCACCACCTCTATCCTCCACACTGGCATGAGCACCAGCAACAGCAACCACTTACACCATCACTATTTCCGCGACCGTCCCTTGCCGCCACAGTCGTTCTTTCACCGCGATTCTCGCGTGTGTACGTGTCTCGAGATCCTACTGTTATGTGTATATATATAACGCAGCTACATCAACGAAGATTCCGTGAGGCCAACGGCGTTCTCCGTGCGGCTCGGGGTGGTTCGATACACGCGCGCGCACACGGTACCGATGGGGGTTCGGTGCCGGCAGTGCCGCCACAGCTCTCGGAAGAAACGCCCGTGATTTTACACCTCCGCTCGAGCAGAATTTACTGAACTATACGACGAGGGTGCACCACGACTCACTCTTTTTCTCTCTTTTTCTTTCTCTCTCTTTCCTTCTATCTTTATTCCTCTATCTTTCTCTCGCTTGATCCTTCCTTTTTCTCTCTAACTCCTGAACGTCTTCTCTTTTTACGGCGGGCTATTCTTTTTTCTCGCTTCCTGCTCTTCTCTTCATTTTCGCTGTTCTCGTGCCCCTCGTCCGACTGTACTGTACGTGACGTGACGACCACTGTACCTCGCCGGATAATGGATGACGAGTGAGTGCTGACTGCGGGGGATACCACGGAATTGATTCCGTTTGGTCTCGCCGCCAATCTCGACGCCTCGTGGTAGTGGATGATAATAGTGGTACGCTGATACGAGTCGACCACGCTGTTTCATGAGAACGCGATTGTGTGTGGGCGAATGCGCCTTCCCTCCCATCCTTACTCCCACTGGTGTATATCTTAATGAACAGTCTGGTTAATCGCGTCCTGGTCGCTTAGTCACCTACGATTCGTCCTCGGGGTCCCTTTCGCATGATCCCGCCGGAACGCGGATGAACGTTGAGAGAGTCGGGATGATTGACCGGCAGACGACGATGCTTCGTGTGTTTCTAATGTGCACTTATCCAAATTTTTCCTTTGCGCGAAAGCTAAAGTCAAACTGGAAGTCTGTGAACAACCTGGAATAAGGAGCATTACTGTGCTTTTAAACCGTTGATCACGCTATCGACCGAGGACTACAATCAACTTGCGGGACGTCCTCGTGTGACACGCTGCAGTACGGCTTACGTACCTACAGTGACGTGGTTGATGATCGATGACGGCGCGAGTCGCGAGGGTTCACGTGGTCGACTTTCACTCGCTGCTGCACGCATATATTTATTAAATTCACCCAGACTGTTGGAGTTCCAAGAGTTAATAAACGCGACCGGTCGATCGCTTATAGCAGGTAGTACCATGACAGTCAGTAGCCGTCAACATTCAGAATGAGCTATGCACAAGCACGGACTCCTTGACCTCTTAAAGTCGCGACATGAGAAGTATACCACGCAAGTGTATGTATGTAAACCGCTCTCGACTATGCGAGGATAGGCTCACGAGTGACAATATAACTCGAAATTTTTAGTAATCGAACTTCCTGTGATTTCGGGAGGCTTGTTATTCGGTTTAAACACCATCGATTCGTGCCTTGCATCCACTTTACTGTCGCAAATCATCATGATCTGACAAGATGACACGCACTATTGTTTCCAACAATTGGAATCACTAGAAACTTTAAAGAGTAGGAAGTAGTAGATTGTGAGAAATCGAGGTCTGTCATCATCCATCACACGCGAATACTCTCCAGTATTTTCCGCTATTAGCCATCAATAATAAAGTACCGGATATTATCTACTTATCTGTAATCTTAGCAAGCCTAAAATATTGAAGACATAAACCATTGCATAATGCAATTTTGCAGCCTAGTGCATCGATATATGAATCTACGAGGCTATCTTTTGTATTGTAAATTTTTGACCTCGATTCGCAAGATTCTAGATGTAAAAAAGTAGCACAATTTCTGTATTCGAAAGGATGTTTTTGAATGCAGATTCAACGAGTATTAGTTGATAAAAGTGTGACCGAACGTACAGTTTAAAAAAAGATGTTTCACACGAGCTTTCGGTTCCACTGCGACAGAAGTTGAGCCAGCATTCCGAAATAGCCTAGATGTAATCGCAGTAATCGAAGCTTCGTATAAATCGATGAGATAAAAGAAGACAAATCGACAACACGGAAATAGGCAGTGATATATCGTGTAATCTTTAACGCCTCAAAATCCTACTGGTTAGTCGATAACAGCGTGGCGCATATCGATTGGCAGCAATCAAGCATCAAGGTAATTTAGCGATAATATAAGGCCGATGAAAGTAGTACTGGATCAAAAGGGATGATCGAGCAAAGGTCCCAATGACATCTCGGCGGGGCAAGAGCGAGGGGTATAAAAGTCCATCTAGTCCTCCGAGCAGCGGTTCGGAGGACAATGGTTTTACGAACCGACCTCGCGTGGCCGGACTCTACGTGAAGAACTTAAGCAGAGAAGAGTTGGATGAGTTGGCCAAGGAAGGAATTTATGGACCTACTGGGAATCCGAACGATCGACCCAGAGACGGCGGTAGCCAAAGGAGTCTCAATATTCTAGGTAGCAGCCGGGACTTGGATAGTCAGGATCATTTTAGAAGAGCGACTTCCAGAACACCTCAGCCACCCAGAAGATCTGGCATTGCAATCAAACATGGAGATTCTGGCAGAGTGTCAGAAACTTTAGCACGGAAGGATCATCATGGCTCGCTTCCGACGGAAAGAGGTTGGTCGAGACGTTTGGAGGATCATTCTGGGCAGCCAGAGAGGTCCGCCCGAGAATCCTCTGAATTTCCTGCTAGTTGGAAAGAGCCGTTACGACCTAGCGTCAGTGCATCACCCAGAGAAAGTTTGATTGACGTGCGGATCACCGATGAGGATCTTATGATGGCAGCTGGTTCGTGCCATTTCAGGGAAACCCAGAAGCGTCCTGAAGTATCTTCGCATTGCGTCATTTCGTCGACGGTACCCAGCGAGGACCAGAGCTTATCACCGCCGCCATACGTCAGTCTAAGTTCACCTGAGTATACCGAATACGAGGAACCGAGCTCGCGAGCATCAAAGATTCGTTCCAAAACTGCAGCGAGAGTCTATCAAGTCGGTAACGAGGAACATACAAGTTCACTGTATGAATGTCCGAGCTCGCCGTCATTAAAAGAAGACAAGGAGTCTCTCTTTTCGCAAACGATTGCTAAGTCATCAGACTCCAATATCGACAAAGTGGATGAAGTTACGAGTCCGTCGGGAACGGAGAAATTAACTTCACCAGAATCCAAGAAGAGCGAATCTCCACCTATGAAGAGAATTGGTTCCAGAACGCAAGACAGCATGAGATTGCGACCACCGTTGGTTGGAACTGCTGGTACTTCCGCTGATTCTGGCACCGGCGATTCCGGGAGTGTGGAGATCCAGGCGGATGTCGTGACACCGCAGGCAGCATCGGGTAACATTCTCGATATCAAGGAATCTAAAAACGAAAGCAGATCCTCTGGCGCGAGAACTCCCGGCAGCAAGGGGGGCAAGCAAACAGTTAAGCCGTTTACGAAAGAGAGTAGATTGGAAAGCAAGACTATACAATTAGTGCGCGAATATGGTTTTCAACCGAAGAAAAAGATGTCGGTGGAAGATGGCGCGGTACTGCCAAACAAGTTCGAACCATTTCCGAACAATCTCTACGGCAGACCATTGGAAGAGATCGACAATTTCATCTACGACGAAGTGAGTTCACAATTTCGTGCAATTATCTTTATTTCTTCATCTTTTACTTATCGAATAAAAAATTCTATGAGAGATAACAGTTTACTTTTCGAATCATTTAGCATACAATATTTAGATTGAGTATAAAACTAGTTACAACTAGTTCAGATATGATTCTATTTAAAGTATGCTATTGAACGTATTAGAAAATACAAAAGAGAAATAAAACTTTATTATACAATAAATAAAATTTTTATCATATATAATGATAAAATTGTTTTTAATTTTTATTGGTATTAATAAGGAATTTGAGGTACTTTGAAAAATATTAGACTTTTGGAAAATTTAAATACAGTTACAAAGTATAAAAAATCATAAGTTTTATTTAAAATTTTATATATACGTATATGCATATATATCTTATATTGTTTGACCAATAATTTTCTAATATCAAGTATAAAAAGTTGAAAGGTTTAAACTTCAAAGTAGGTAAATAAAAAAAATACGTCTCTTTTGAATTTTTATGTGTTTAATAATATATTTTAAAAAGATTCATCAATCCGACAGTAGTGACATGTCCCTTGTGAGAATTATTCATGTTAATACTTTTAACAAATTAGAAAAATTGTATGCATTGAGCTTCAGCGAAACCAGAGCACGATTTCAGTTAGGTATAACGGCTACCAGCTTATCATAGCCATATCTTAAATTCACAGAGCCTCGAAGGGAAATGTTAAAGGACCACGCGACCGTTGGGGATCGTTATAACACAACACCGCGAAGCAATTTCAACGATCGCATATTTCCAGTTTATAGCTGAGTGTTGCTAGGAGGCGAAGTGTAACCGAGAGCAAATATCAGGCACAATTTTCGTTTTTGTAAATAAATTTCTTTAGCCGTAAAGCAAGTGGAACAAACAGGAAAAACAGTAGGTGACGGTAAAAAGAAGCACGAAAAAAGAGAAAAGAATCTGGCAGAAATGTGTACGTGAATGCGCAAGGCAGAAAGGGACTTAAAACAGAAATGGAGAGAAAAGTTGCGAGAGAAACAATAGTTTAAAAAAGAGTAAATGATGATAGGTTAGGATTAGTGAAAGAACGGAGTGGAGAAAAGAGAGAAAGAGGACGAATCACCGAAAATACAAAATGAGAGAAAACAAAGAAGAGAAACAAGAAGACTCGGCGCGCGAAAAAGACGCCGGAAAAGATTAGGTGAATTCGCGCGGATATCCGTGCGCTACACATCTATTTATATTAAAAATCGATCGTCCGCGACTATTCGTGACCTGTTCTTAAGTAAGAAATCCCTGTTGGATTTGCGGGAGATTATGTAGGTCATAATATGTCGGATTCCTTTAATTGCTCATGCTTCCAGTTTCTCTTCGCTGCTAGTGAGACTCTTATTTGCTCAAAAAGGAAAGAATTTTGCAATCTAGACACCGAATATTTGAAATTTTATCAAACAATTTTCAGAGCTCTTTCGAGATATTTTATATTCAGATTTTTTATTAGGCACCAATCAGCGAGAAATCAGCGAGCTTCACATTGAGATATTTAAGCACGAAATATGAGTGTATAAATATACAATCCTTTATACACGCATAATTAGAAAAAAGTAGTAGACTTTAAAGATGAAAATGTTATATGTTGAATCAATGTACATAGTATTGTATAATACATTGATTAAATAATTTTATAATTATTGCAACTATAATATAAAATGATATTCAACTATGTGTACGTTAATTCTATATGTAAAATATGCATAGTTGTCACTTTTAATTGCTGTCATCATAATATTTTTCACTGAGTGCGCTAATAACATATTAATTTTTTTATCAAGCTCAATTAAATAACTATAATAACGAGTATATTGCATTCTAACATTTATAATAAATAATTTCTAAAAAGAGACGCGCGATATTCTATAAAGAGAATAATATACTTACCTCTCGTGCAATGTCTATATCCGAGAAATCTTCGTCCTGTGTGTTATCGCCCTGGAATCCTGTAGCGATCTGAAACAAAGAGAATAGTTAGATGGAAATTACAATCTCTTATTTTACGCAGAATTTAGTGTATTATAAATTAAAAACGCAATTTGTAAGTTCACATAATTTAAAGATTAAAAATACAGATTAAAGAAAAGAATCTGGTTATTCGTATTTTTTTCTTTAAAATTTTCAGCGAAACGCGAGAATTACTGACAGGAAAAGAAACAAACCGTTATATTTTTCTTCGTTGTGATCTGGAAAGAGGAAATTTTCGCAATTTGTCTGTAGGTATAACGTGTTAATGCAACTTCCATTAGACGCCTGATTGTAAATTGCTCACGAGCGTACTGAATTTTTAAGTATAGCTTGCTCGTATTATGCTAAACAATGTATAATATAACGATCTGTGATCGAGCCAATATAAAGAAATTATAAATAATTTTTATAATGTATTTATTACAAATTAATGGAAGAAGTTGAATGTTTCGAATCAAGGGTTCTTCTTCAGCAAATATCAAAATATTAAAAAATATTAAAAAATATTTTAAAAAACGAATAATTTTTCTAACAATTTATGTGGTAAACCTTTACATACAAAAGGGGACCACCTATCGATGATCTTGACCTTGACATATGTTGTCAAGGTCATGACTCTGAGTAACCTCCGGCAGGTATTAGCCGTCGCTCGTCCTTCGTTAAAAAGTTATTAACAATCAAAGTTTTAAAAATAACGTCTTATTTCTGCTATATACCATCTTAAACATTATTCTACACATACATTTTGACTTCCTACACTACACGAACTCCAATTCCTCCCCCCCCCCCTCCAAGGAGCGTACGACTTCTATGATTGCACTGTTGCAATTTTAAAATTAAGGTATAATATATAATACATGTATGATATTGAGTACTATTCTACACTTTTCCCTGTTCAGAAACGTTAAACTTTCCACGAGGAGTAACTTTCACCCCTCCCTCCCCTGCACAGAGGCACACGACTTCTACGATTGTACTGTTGCTATGATAGTACTGTCGGGGCAGACCTCTATGACGGTGTGGGTGCGGGGGGGTGGCCGAAGGCCACCTCCTTGCACCCGCTCGTGTGTGTGTGTGTGTAGGAGGTGGCCTTCGGCCACCCTTCCCGCACCCACACCGTCACAGAGGTCTGCCCCGACAGTACTATCATTGCAACAGTACAATCGTAGAAGTCGTGTGCCCCTGTGCAGGGAGGGGGGTGAAGGTTACTTCGCGTGGAAAGTTTAACGTTTCTGAACAGGTAAAGGTGTAGAATAGTACTTGATATCATACGTATATAGCAGAAATGAAACGTATATTTTAGAACTATGATTGTTAATAACTTTTTAACGAAGGACGAGCGACGGCTAAAACCTGTAGGAGGTTACTCAGGGTCATGACCTTGACAGCATATGTCAAGGTCAAGGTCATCGGAGGGTGGTCCCCTTTTGTAAAGGTTTACCAAAGATGATACATACTAATAACTTCTGTATCGAGATATATCACATAAGAAGGTGATTCAACCATTGCATAGACAATTAGTATGTGATTCTTCGTTGTCAAGAAGTCAACTCAAACTGTTGATAATTGGAGTCAGGAATGATATCTAATACAAATGATATATTGTGTATTAAATTTTATTTATGATGTTGAAATAGTGGGTCAATAGTAGCATTAACACGCAGTCAGAAAAAAACCTCAAATTTTATTAATCTTATACTAAACTTTCTTACATAAAACAATCTGAATATACAATATCACTAAATGTACGTTCTTTTCATTTTTATTTCAAAATATGATATATGTCGATAATGTGTGTTAATATTCTCAATAGAAAATAAATTCTTTTAAGAAGAATATTATACCATAAAAAATTTTTTTTCTGTGATATACAAAATGCATTAAATTTCAAATTGATTAAATACTTTCTAAAGCAAGTTATTCCTTAAACAAAGCGAGAGGAACACGTAATTAATGTAATAAATATTGTTTAATTTTTTTTTCTGTATAACAAGCTACTACACATGTGAAATTAAGTTCTACAAGATCATTATAAAGTCTCTTTATTTATTGGAAAGGAAACTTTTCCAGAGAGACTTAATTACAACAACAATTATTAAAAGATTTTCTTTTCAAAATTACAAACAAGCATAACAGAATGCTGCAACATAGAAGAATTATGTTAACACAATTTCGCAATTATATACGTATATGTATTTTACCGCTCTGTCGTAAATCATCGTAACGGATACGTTCATATATGCGTTTATCCACACTACTCGAGTTCAATGCCAACATCAGCGTGACTAACAATAAGAAGAAAAATCTTAAGCTCGTTAGGTTCTTTATGCAAAAGAGCAATGAATCTTTCTTGAAAGACTTACGTTTGAGTTATTATTGCTCTCCTTACGCTCACTTTTTTAAAACAAAAAAGAAGCGAGAGTCATATTTTTCCCGTCGCAGCCAGAGCAAAAACTATCAGTCCATTGAGCGAGTTAATGCATCTTTAATATCGTGAAACATGGGATTGAGAAAATGGAATGTTCGGAAAGAATGGAAAAGTACTATTTATTGGATGCGATGCTTCGTCTCTAACAAATTAAAGTATTTTTCGATGATCTTCGCGGCGCAACAAAAAAAATTTGGTAATTATTAATAAATTAATAATATAATTGAATTATAGACTCTTATATGTTTCAAAAACAATACCAAAAATTTAAGTAAATACAAAGGCTATTAAGAGTCAACGCTGTTAGCAGTGCGCAAAAATATAATCTTAAAATCTATAACATAGATATTATGTCGAACGTTTCGATCCTTCGTTTCGGATCATCATCAGCGACAATACAATATAAAATTAAAAATTACTCAGAGTTGCGAACAATGATGTTGTCCCGCAGTATGTAATATACAACCAATCTGAGGCAAGACTATCACTTCTTCACGTGAAAGTATGTACATTAGTTCGAATAATTGAGTATGTCTCAAGTTGGTCGACAAAAGACAGAATCAATTATATCACAGAAATCGCATTGATCAAATTTCATCGTCAATATGTCTGTATATGACGATGTACAACGATATAATGTAACGATATTATATCGTTGTACATCGTCATATACAGACATATTGACGATGAAATTTGATCAATGCGATTTCTGTGATATAATTGATTCTATGTCTTTTGTCGATCAACTTGAGACATACTCAATTATTCGAACTAATGTACATACTTTCACGTGAAGAAGTGATAGTCTTGCCTCAGATTGGTTGTATATTACATACTGCGGGACAACATCATTGTTTGCAACTCTGAGTAATTTTTAATTTATATTGTATTGTCGCTGATGATGATCCGAAACGAAGGATC